TTTTCATATTTAAATAAAAATACATTGTTCACTTCATGTCTATTTTTAAAAATATTTATTTTTAGAAAGAGAGGAAGGGAGGGAGAAAAGAGAAACATTGATGTGCGAGAGAAACACCAATTGGCCACCTCTAGCAGACCCCCAACCCTGGGGATCTGGCCTGCAACCCAGGCATGTGCCCTGAGCAGGAATTGAACTAGTAACATTTGTTTGAGGGATGACGACCAATCAGCTGAGCCACACCAGGAAGGGCTTAAATATTTTTAATGGAAAAAATTGTAACTATAGTAAATATAATAAATGGGTTGAGTTTTTAAATATGTCCAAAATATAGTTTTCCAATATGGCACTTTTGATATATAAAACAAGGCACAGGTGGAATACACAGAATGATCTTATTATGTTATCTTAAACCATTATAGAAACTTTATTTGTCTGATTAGATGGTTGATGGCCTTAGGGAGTTATGAATTCTTAAAGATGTTTTTTAGAGTCCTTATCTTTTAGAGATATGTATTGGAATATATAGGGGAAAAAATGATGATAGGGTATTTGTTTCCAAATAACCTCAGGTGGGTGGGGAGGGGGAGGAGGAATAGGTGAGTAAGTGGCGATGACTCGATAAAAGTATTGAAGCTCTGTAACACCTGGAGTTATTACATTACACTAGGGAGGGTTATTACATTACTCTCTATACTTTTGCATATGTTTGAAATTTTCCAAAATAAAATGTTTTTTAAAAAGTCATAAAAAAGAAAAAATTAAACAATGGTGCTTATTTTAAAAACTAAGGAATATAATGAATGAAGAGATTCAGTTATGAGTCCAGACCACCTCTGTCCTTTGCTCCAAATTCCTTGAAATGATATATTTTAAAATAACTGAAGAATTACAATAGTGAAGAAATACAAGATTAACGGTGATATTAGGATACCAGTGGTTTTGACAAACTTCTTAAGTTCCTCAAAGTGGTTCTCAAAATGTGGTCCCTCAGACAAATCTCATTAACATCACCTAGAAAATCATTAGAAAGGCAAATTCACAAGCCACATCCCAACCCCCTTTGGAAGTAGGGTTGTGAAATCTAACAAAAAACAAGAGAGGAAAGCCTTTGCTCAAACCAGCCCCAGAGATAACAATCAAAAAGGTAAAAGCAATTGCAGGGATACTCTAAACTCAGAGTCAATAGCGATGGAAAGCTGGAGGCCTCCAGCTGAGATAGTCAGGTCCTAATCTTGCTCATTTCCAAAACCAAGCTACTGGTGGGAATGGGAGATAGTTCTGCCCAGGGGAAGAAACTCCATCTTCAGAATATAGTGCTTTGTATTTTGGCAAAGAGATTGGAATGAGGATGGGACAAGAGCCTACTAGCTCTTCTGCCCATCACCCATCTGTGTATTCTAAAAGGTCTGTGTGAATAAGCTGCCTTTTCTCAAAGTAAACATCTTTTAGAGAAAGGAAGATTCATACAAATGTGGGAAAAATCCACACCAACTACCAATACATTAATCAAGTGTATCTCTTTCACATGTAAGAGTGATGTTTTAAGAACGACAAATAGCAGTATAGATAATGAGTAAAATGAACAGAAGACTGACAGTCAATGGGGAAAATACAAGTAATTCAAGGACTAGAAAGGAATGTGAAAAATCTAATTGGTATCCTCAGAAATGTAAGGATACTACATTTATTAAAAAAATTAGAACAAGACAGCAATCTTGAATATTTAAAAACAAATTACTAAACATAATATCTAAATAATGATATAATGGACACACCTGAGAGGGATTGGTGATCTGGAAGATAACATTTGAAGAAATCTTTCAGAACAGAGAAAAGATGAAGACAAAAAATAAAAGTGAATTGACAGAGGATCAAGTCAGGAGGTCCTATATTCACTAGATGAGTGCCAGAAAAACAAAGCAGATAAAATGGTAAGAAAATAATTTTAAAAGTCATTTAAAAGCTGTCCTTAATCCAAGAATGATATGATTCTTCAGAGTCAAAAAACCATGGAGTCAGGTGAATAAATAACACATGCCCCACATACCTAAGCACATAGAGGTGAAATTTTAGGACTCTATGCACAAAGAAGTCCTAAAAGTTTTTCATGAGGGAAAGAAAGGTTTTTACCTATAAACAGAATCAGATTGGTGTCTGACTTTTAATCAGAAATACTGGATGCTGGCAAACAATCATGTTACAACATCAAAATGTGAGGGGAAATTATTTTGAACCTAACACCCTAAACTCAAAAAAAAAAAAAAAAATGTAACGGAGGAGTAAACATTTACTTATTTGAAGATATGCTGCAGTGAACCAAAAAACTAACCCTGGGATGAAAGAAAAAGAAGTGAGAAGGAAACTGTAACCATATGCATAATGTTAAAACACACAAATCAAGATAATAGAGATTACTCTGAAACAAATCCCACATGATTAGGGCAGAAGAAGAGGTCCAAGTGGGAAAGTAAAAGAATGTTAAGGCTGCTGACTTAATTGGGAGATTAAACACAGAGAAAAAGGATAATCACTACAGGAATAGCAATAAGTTTAGTTCCAAAGCACTAAAAGGAAAAAAAGGAAAAAAACACCAATCATGTCAATAAAATGCTAGCTAAAAAACAAGCACAATATATAGAAAATACAAAACAAGATGGCAGAAATAGTCCAAACAATTTAACAATTTCAATTAATATGAATGGATTAAATTCCCCACAGACTCTAAAACTGAACTCCCAAGAAGCTGTTTTGACTACATTAATTGGGGAAAGTAAAAGTCAATGCAGAGTGTATTGAGTACAAAAAAAGAACATTTCAGTTATAAAATGCACAAGTCACCAACAGTTACATACACTTTCATATTTCAGAAATCAATTTATTAAATGGACACCTAGATAAGAATGTAGAAAGTTTGTCAACCAAGATGGAGGCATAGGTAGATGCTCTTTGCCTCCTCACACAAACAATAAAGTTAAAAACAAAAATAACCAGAACTGACAGAAAATCGAACTGTATGGAAGTCTGACCACCAAGAAATTAAAGAAGAAACATTCATCCAGACCGGTAGGAGGTGGAGGCGACGGCGGCTAGAGGACAGGGAGGAGAGGCAGCGGCTGGCAGACCAGGTGGTCCCACATTTGCGTGCGGATAAACTGGAGGAACAGCTGGGGAGCCACACACACTGCGCAACCCAAGGTTCCAGCTCAGGAAAAGAAAGCCTCAAAACTCCTGGAGGTAAAACCTGTGGGGGTTGCGGGGACAGGAGAAACTCCCAGCCTCACAGGACAATCCATTGGAGAGACCCATGGGATCCTACAATGTACACCAAACCACTCACCCAGGAATCAGCACTAGAAGGGCCCTATTTGCTTGTGGGTAATAGGGGAAGTGACTGAAAGCCACCCAAGAGCCCAGCTAGCAGCACTGTTCCCTCTCACGGCCCCTCCCCCACACACAGCCCCACAACTTAGCAACCTGGGTTGCCCCGCCCTGGCGAATACCTAAGGCTTCACCCCTCCCAACCTAACAGGCATGCTGAGACAAAGAAATATGGCCCAAATGAAAGAACAGATCAAAGCTCCCAAAATAGAACTAAGCGATGAACACATGGCTAACCTATCAGATGCAGAGTTCAGAACATTGGTAATCTGGATGCTCACTGAATTGGCTGAGAAAGGTCACAAAATGGAAGAAAAAGCGGAGGCTATGCAAAGTGAAGTAAAGAAAAATACACAGGGAACCAACAGTAAGGGGAAGGAAACCAGGACTCACACCAACGACTGGGAGCAGAAGGAAGAGAGAAACATTCAACCCAAACAGAATGAAGAAACAAGAATGCAAAAAACTGAGGAGAGGCTTAGGAGCCTCTGGGACAACTGTAAACGTTCCACCATCAAGAAATCGAAAACTTATTTGTCCAGGAGCTCAGACAGTCCCAAGGGAGCACATACCAAGGCACATCATAATTACATTCCCCAAGATTAAAGATAAGGAGAGAATCCTAAAAGCAGCAAGAGAAAAGGAGACAGTTACCTACAAAGGAGTGCCCATAAGACTATCAGCTGATTTCTCAAAAGAAACCTTGCAGGCAAGAAGGGCAAGAAGTATTCAAAATCATGAAAAGCAAGGACCTCCATCGAAGATTACTCTATCCAGCAAAGCTATCATTTAGAATGGAAGGGCAGATAAAGTGCTTCCCAGATAAGGTCAAGTTAAAGGAGTTCATCATCACCAAGCCCTTATTAACAGGCAGTGTTAAAGGGACTTATCTAAGAAAAAGATAAAAAACTATGAACAGTAAAACAGAGGGAAAGAGGAGGGGGAGGAATGGGGGAAAAGTACATGGAATTAAGAATAGTATAGGATATGGAGAAGCCAAAGTACTTATATGTACAGCCCATGGACACAAACTAAGTGGCTTAGGGGTGGGGCAGTGCAGAAAAAAAGGGTATTCCTTTTATGTTTAAATTATCTATTTTAATATAAAACTTCTTTTCTAAAGGTCCAATTCTTAACTATACCCAAAACAAGCACTTTAACTGAATCTAAACACACACAGGGGCTGTGTCAATATTTATTTCAAATGTTCAATATTTGAGCTACTTAAGCAGTAGCAATAGGTGAATTTCAAAATATTCTTTGAAATAAACAGAGAAAATTTAAATTTCAAGACCTTCAAATTATTCATTTAACCTGGTTTATTTTTAAAATATTTCTAAGGAATGATTCTTCCTCTCCTGTATTAAATACAAAATAACTATATTTCTCTAACCTATAGCTTTGCTCAACTGAATTAAACATTTTAAAGCTTTTTTCCTTACTACTAAACCAGTATCTTCAATTCTTAACTGGTCCAAGATGAGATTTCCTTACATGACAGCAATACATACAAATGCATACAAACAAAAAGGAGAATCCTGCCAGCAAATACTATGTTCAATCCCAATAATACAGACACGGTCTTAAAAATCAGTTACATATTTATTTGCATAGATTCGAAAGACTTGAAAAATCCAACATAATATCATATGAAGCTTACAATTTAATTGCTAATCAAGTTTAAAAATAAGTTTTCCTCCACTAACGTGAGGATGGCACTATTTTACATGCTTCAGTTATGAGTGCTGAAACATTACACACCTACACATCTTCAGTTTTTGTAGAATTAAGTCCAAAAAAGTCTTTTCTGATGATGTACCGAACACACTGCAAAATCACATTTCTTTCATGTCGAATGTCTGGAGCTAAAAGCTAAAAACAATAAATACAAAGATTAGCTAGTAAATAAAATATATCCAAGAAATACAATCTAAAATATTATGTGTCCCTTCTCCATATTTTGAAAACACAGAATAAAGATATATATATATATATTTACTAATTATTTTGCTTAAAAATAATAGAAGAACATTTCCTTTTAATTTAACATTTGGAGTCCTCTCTAGGAGGTACCTAATAAGGGACAAGAAAAATAAGTTTAAAAGTCTGCAATTCTTAAATCTAAAAATCATTTCAAACAGGGCCCTACCAAACCCAAACAGTATAGAAATTATAGGTTGATATAGTAAAGATAGTAATAATGAAACTAGCAGTTCAAAATCCCAATATTCTGGACTTTTACAACTTCCCATTGTTGCCCTTACTGTGATAAAAAGAAAGCTAAAAATTCCTAGTACTTAGAATAAGTACAAACTATGGAGTCACATGTACAATACATTTTTTTAAAGATCTTATTTATCTATTTTTAGAGACAGAAGGGAGGGAGAAAAAGAGGGAGAGAAACATCAATGTGTGAGAAAAACATTGATTGGTTGCCTCTCACACCCTCCCAGCCAGGGACCTGGCCCACAACCCAGGCATGAGCCCTGACAAAGAATCAAACCAGCTACCTTACGGTTTGTGAGACGACGCCCAACCGAGCCACACCAGTCAGGGCATCGTTTGTCATTTGTCAAAAAGATAAAGTGACCTCAACTTAATGTAGTTTGGAAACATCACATAAGAACTTTCAGTGGAAAAATGATTTAATCTGCCCTTATAAGGTACATATTTTAAAAATGCAATTTACTTTATATAGCACTGAAGTCTACAAAACATGGAAGCACATTTCAGATCAATTTTAATCAGAAGCAACTTTCTCTACATGTAACTCTCAGAGAGTGTTCACAGAACACTTTAGCTACAGCACTAGAGCTTTACCTGACAAGGCAAAACAAGACTTTTCACAGAGCATTAGTAGTTTTACAACCCCACTAAAAAATCTGGAATGTTTCTATTTCTATCACTCTTAGGCATGAAAGCCTTGAATTTTTGAATAGCTTCATGTCTATTACTTAGAATCAAAAGATGCACTGCTTTCTCTTTATAATTTAAAAATAGATAATAAAATTTTTAGCACACCACACTGAGAATAAAGCCAATAATGCACAAAATAAACACACAAAAACCCTTTTCTTTCAGCCTGCCAATGTATTTTACTATGTTTTCAGTGAAAACTTTTTCATTATACCTCAATATACACTTTATAACCTATCAGTTAAACCTATATTGTTATTTTAAGTGGTTTATAAAATTGTAATTCCATATTTACTGAACATAAGCTACACGCCAAATGCAGCTTCAGAATTAGGATACACAGGTGACTTTTCAAGGATCTTTTTGTCTCTGGTAACCTTAAAAAACACACATATGCACACAAACTCAATGGCTCTATCTCCACAATGTGAAAAGAACATAAAGATCAGAATGTAAATAAAAATCATTTACCATTTCCAGGAGATATGGATGATGTGTTCTTGGTTCAAATAATGGATGACAGTTGTGATAATCTTTTTTCCTCTTCGGGTTTGTCTTTTTGAAACTTTTCTTTTGACTCTTATACTTGGCTTCTGAGAAATTTCCAATAGTCACTTTAACATCTTGACTTGGTCTCTCAAAAGTATCGCTATAAAGAATCTGGTCCTCCACGAGAACATCTGCTTCAGTTTTAATGGGAGCTTCTAAATGTGATAAAAAACAAATACAAAAGTTAAAAACAAAAGAACAGGTTACCCTTCTAAAAAATAACAACCCCCCCCAAAACAAAAAATACATAATAATTTCCCCCAGCCATACTACTTGGCTTCTTATTAATTAAAACTAGGCATTTACAATGTATTAAATTATTTTTTAAAACTGAGAGTTATAACTGCCAAGACTTGAGGAGATTACCACAAAGAGCTACAGAAAATGATGCCTATGAAGGATATAACACTTGATGGAAACTTGGATCCACACAAATGAAGAATGAAGAGTGTCAGAAACAATCAATATGTGTGAATATACAAAAGACATTTTTTTCTTGTTTAAATTTTTTAAAAGAGGTATAACTAATAAGTTGGTATTTGTATTGCCCTAAAAATACAGAATTAATCCAAAGGCAGGAAAAGGAAAATAAAACAAAAACAGATAAAACAAAAAGAAAAAAACTATATCAATAATTATAATATATGTAAATAGTTTAAAACACCCTACTTAAAAAGGCTGAGATCAGATTGAGGGAAAAAGAACAACTACATGATGTCTACAAAGCAACCACCACCACCACCACCTTCGAATGACAGGTACTCCTTGCTTTATACAATTTGAACTGAGATTAAATCTCAGTTACCAAGGAACAGTGCGAAGCAAGGACTGCCCATATAAAGTCACAAGCTAAAAGTAAAAGGATGGGAGAAGACGCTGAGCTACACCAATCATTAGAAAACTGGAATGACTATATCACTATCAACGGCTATAACAAAGGAGAGTTCAGAACAGGGACTATCACCAGGGATCAAGAGGGATCGTTCATAATGATTCAGAAATCAATTTCTCAAGTATAAAGAACAGTAATAACTAATAACAGGGTGTCCATATACATGCAGCATCTTAGCCTGTGTGGCTCAATTGGTTGGAGCATCTTCTTATAAACAGAAAAGTCATGCGGTTCGATTCCGAGTCAGGGCACACGCCTAGGTTGTGAATTAAGGCCCCAGTCGGAGGCTTACAGAAGAGAATAAATGGCTGTTCCTCTCATTTCTCTTTCTCACTCTCTCTGCCTGCCTCCCCCACTTTATCCCTTCCTCCCTCTGGAATTAATGGATATATCCTCAAATGAGAAATTAAGATATATATATATATATATGCGCAGCAAAATCTCACAAAACTGAAGAAGTCTATTATTAAGGTTGGAGGCTTTAACACTCTGCTCTCAGTAACTGAAGAACAGAAGAACAATTAGAAAATGAGCAGGGATATAGAAGACCTGAAGATCACTAACAACTCAAACTGACAAAGGATGTTTGAGTTGTCAAGTTCATGCAAACATTCACCTTGTATTGGGCTTAAAACAAGTCTCAGTAAATAGAAAAAACTGAAAGCATACAGAGGATGTTCTCTGAACATAACAGAGTTAAAGTAAAATCAATAACAGAAACCTACCTAAACCTTCAAATACTTGGAAACTAAACAACACACTTCTCAACAGCCTGCAAGTTAAAGAACAAATCACAAGAAAACATTTTGAAATAAAGATAAAACCATAATGCATCATATTTATGGGATGCAGCTAAAGCAATGCATGAAAGCAAATTTATAGCTTTGAATATTCGTATTAGAAAAGAAGAAAAATCTATACTCAGTGACCTAAGCTTCCATCATAATGAGGTAGACAGTGAGGAGGGAAGAAATAGAGTGAAAATCAATGTGTTAGAGATAGACAATAGAGAAAAATCAACAAAGCCAGAGTTGTTTCCTTAAAAAGATTAATTAAATTAATAAATACTTAAGCAAGACTGATCAAGATTTAAAAATTACCAATAATGAGGGATCAAAGAAGAAATATCACTATTTATCCTACAGATGTTACAAGAAAATGTTATGAGTAACTTTATGCCAATAAATTAGACAACTTAGATAAAAACAAAAAAATTTTTGAAAGACACCATTCACAAAAAAGGACTCAAGAAAAAAATAGAAAATCTGAATAGCCCTCCACCTATTAAGGAAACTTAATTCATAATTTAAAATCTTCCCCAAAAGAAAATGCCAAATACAGATAGATGGTTTCACTATTGAAATCTATAAACAAACAAACAAAAGTGGTAGCAATTCTACACAAACCCTTAAAAAAGAGGTGGAGGAAACAGATCCCAACTCACACCAAATCCAGACATAAACATTACAGAAAAGAAAAACACAGGCCAATAATCCTCATGAACATGACAGTAAAAATCCATAATTAAAACTAGCAAAACAAATCCAGCAATGTTTTAAAAAGGTAATACACCATAACCAAATAGATTTTAACCCAGAAATACAAGGTTGATTTGACACTTAAAAAGCAATCAATGGCCCTGGCTGGTATGGCTCAGTGGACTGAGTGTTTGCCTGTGAACCAAAGGGTTTCCAGTTTGATTCCCAGTCAGGGCACATGCCTAGGTTGCAGGCCAGGTCCCCAGTCAGGGGCATATGAGAGGCAACCACACTTGCTGTTTCTCTCCTACTCTTTCTCCTTCCCTTCCCCTCTCTCTAAAAATAAATAAAATCAATCTTAAAAGCAATCAATGTATATTACATATTCATAGAATAAAGAAGAAAAACCAGCCCTAACAGGTATGGCACAGTTGGTTAGGTGTCATCCCACAAAGCAAAAGGTTGCAGGTTTGATCCCTGGTCTGGGCAGAAGCCTGAGTTGCAGGTTCAGTCCCCCAGTCAGGGTGCATGTGAGAGGCAATCGATTGATGTTTCTCTCCCTTTCTTTCTCTCTCCCCTCCCCTCTCTCCAAAAATAAATAAAATCGTTTTATAAAAAAGAAGAAAAAGCATATAATCAGTTGAAAATTCAAAAGTTTTAAAGTTTTAAAATAGGAAAAAAATTTTAAAAATTAACGAAGTTTTAAGATAGACAATCCCTCCTCTCATTCCCTAAATGATTATTCTATATTGTTGATTATCATGAATTACAAGCTGATATGAAAGAAAAAGTTCTATACTAGAAGCTGGGAGACTGGGTTCAATTGTCTGGATAAGAGGGTGGGAGTCTAATCATATCCCTCAAAACCTTAAACACTAAAGCACTACAAAGGACATTACGTTTGAAAGGAAGTGTAGGATAAGTGTTAAAAGCAGACTGATGCAGGTCCCAAGCTATTATGTTCAAGTCCTAGTTCTAGCACTACTATGTGATATTTGGTCAAGTTACTTATCTCAGCCTAAATCTCCTCATGGCACCTACTTCATGAGATTATGGCAATAATTAAAAGAGTTAAGCACAGAAAAAAGGGCCTGACGCAGAGTAAGCACTATAAAAGAATTTGTCATGATGATAGTAGTTTTGATGTGCCTTCAAAGTGATGGGGAAAAGAGAAAAAAAAGAGAAATATAACCATAAAAGAATGGAGCTAAGAATTCACAAAGTGGTGTATAGGGTTCAAAATTATGGGAACAATATTTAAAGACAAAAAACAAACAAAAAAACCCCAAAACAAACACCAGGGCACTACTTACTATTATTTCCTTCCTTCAAGTATTGATTGATCTCCCGATCCAGGAATAGAGAAGTCAAAATGAGTCAGAGCTTATATTGTCAATTTGCTGCTAAGTAATGAGGAATTGGAACCATTTATGTTTTTCTCAAGATTCACATCTCCCAGCTTAGTATGTTTTAATGTAAATAAATTTAATATATAGCCATTGAGTTTTTGAAACCTAAATCACCCTTTTTGGTTTGCGGCCTTTTGAATGAGTTTTCAGTTTAGAGGTTCCCGTCACAGCCAAACCAATCTGAAGACACAACAGTTCTGGGGTGCTGTAAAGCTGCACTTGATTTCTACTACGGCAAAAACAAAAAACGAATGCACAAAACCCAGGAGATATCATACTATTCCATTTGAAAATACTACTCATTGATATTTTCTTTCTTAGGTGCAGGGTGGCGCTAAAGTAGGTTTACAGTTGTTCATACGGACAATAATACAATAATTAATAAGTAAAAACACAAGAACAAACTGTGTCCACATACTCACAACTGTAAACCTACTTTTGCCCCTATGTATCTTAATGATTCTGACAGCCCCAGAACTCAAGCACAGCCTCTTTTTTTACTTCTGTCTTTCTTGAGGGAGTCTTTCCTTATTTCCAGAAAATCACTACTCATGTTTAAGATCCACTACACACTTTTGTGTTAATCCCTAAACTGAGATAGATCTTAACTGTAAAAATACAATTGTTAACATCTGTGAAATTCAGACTGTTCCTCTCCATTTAGAATACACCTAAACAGCCTTCTAAATGCTATTTAATGATTCAGAGAAGGCCCACTTTATTTCCTTCATTTATTTATTCCAAAGTCCCTATGTGTCAATACCCTATTCTATAGCCCAGAATTAACACTCAAAGCTACAAATCTGCTAGTGACCTGTAGCCATATTTGTATCTGACAAAATAGATTTCAAGACAACAAAGGTAACAAGAGACAAAAATGGACATTTTATAGTAACAAAGAGACCCTACATCAAAAAGACATAACACTTCTTAATACATATGTACCCAATCAGGGAGCAATTAAGTCTATAAAGCAACTACTAACAAAACTAAAGGGAGAAACTGACAAAAAATACAAATCACAGCTGGGGACCTAAATACTACATTACCGCTGTAGACAGATCATCCAAACTGAAAATCGGTAAGGAAGTATCAGCCTTAAGTCCTGACCACTGTGGCTCACTTGATTGGGCATCATCCCACAAGACAAAAGATCACTGGTTTGATTCCTAGTCAGGGCACATGCCTGGGTTGTGAGTTCTGACACTAGTAGGGTGTGTGAGAAAGATGACTGATCAATGCTTCTCTCCCTTTCTTTCTCTCTCTCTTCCCTTCTCTCTAGAAATAAATAAATTAATAAAATCTTTAAAAAAATAGAAATATCAGCCTTAAATGAAACATCAAACCAAATGGACCTGCTTGACATGTACAGAGAC